TATATATATATATATATATATATATATATAATAAAATCTGTGTGTATATCTATAGCGAGAGAGACACTGACTTTTGTCTGGTGAAAAAAATGTTCCTGGAACCAAACCCCCCCATGTATATTAATTCCTATGGAGAAATTGGATTCGCTTAACATTGTTTCATTTAAAGTAGCATTTTTTAGTAACATAACTACAACGTTAAGCGAGGAGTCACTGTAGTTTCTTTTGACTTGAGGACTTTATCAAATTTCCACTTTAAATTGTATAGCATTGCCAAACCAAACATTCAGAAATCATGAGTTAGGCTCCCAAAAATCATGAGATTAAAAAATAATAATTGTGGGGGTTCTTATTTGCCTTTTGGTTTCTGAGCCTTTACAATACACATTGCTTTAGTTTTTAAAAAAAGTTTCTATCCCTCATGTTTGCAGAGAGAAGCTTGAAAATGCGAACTGAGATTTTTATGTAACCACTTGACTCCAGGAGCTGGGCCTTTAAGCAAAACAAATACTGTGCGTGAGGTTTGCGATAAAATTGTAGGCATTTGGTACACTGAGTATATGTGAACTTGTGTAAAAACAAGCCCCACAAATGGTCAGTGCATACAAGCTAATTTTGACTATAATGTTTAAAATTAGTATTAATGTCCTTTTAAATCCTGACTCTTAACAGATATTTCTACTGTGAAACCATTTACGTGCAGTGTCCTGTTGTAAAGCGTCTGGGCCAGCATTTGTGTCCAAAGCCGTCCGATTCTCTGTCTGATTATCCTAGCTCTGTCCTAGCAGAAAGCAGCGGTCTGTGAACCTTGATCAAATTTAAATAATTGCAGATACTAAAGCATGTGTTGGCACAATGGCATGAAGGCAGTCTTCCATTTTTACTGTCACTCATAACACAGGAAGACTGATTAGAATGTTGGATCCCAAAATTAAATTCTGCATTATGTGGGTAGGTTTATTGTGATGAAAACTGAGACACATTCTCAGGGCTTCAATGGAAATGTAGAAAGGACTGTTTTACAGTGAAACAATTCTAGGAAATTGCTTGTTTTTATGGATTAGCTGAGCATTTTGCCTGAAAGATTGAGGGGTCAGATTGGAAAAATGTCTCTCCAATCTAAAATGAGATGCCACTAACAGTAGATTAAACAGGTCTTCATAATATAATCAACCCTGTCCCTTCTGACATGCTTTGATAAACTAATAGCTAATGAGACTGATTTAAATTTTCATTAGACTTCAGAATTAACATGCACTTGAACTGAATAACTATCAGTTGACATTTGAGCTGTTGTTTCAGATTCTTTGCAGACTTGGGCAGACATCACTGCATTGGTTTACGTTTAAATGATCTTCAATGAGAAGGGCTAGAGATGTAGTTTACAATTTCTTTTTCTAGACTTTAGAGCACAAGATACAGCACCAGAGAAAAACTCGAGGTTGCTGAGCCACTGTGAGGTGGCCCACTTTGATCTCTAATGGGATTTAATCACCTACAGTACATTTATGCTGTGTGACACTACTTGTTTGAAACATGTAAGTAATAAATATGGTGTTGTGGGATTTCAGCCTGCTCAGGAGGACAGGAGAGAAGATCAAGACCCAGAGAGCAGAGACCTTGAGATTAAGGAAGGAGACGGAGTGCAGGAAGAGTGTTCCAAGGCAGAGTTGAAAAGAGAGAACCCTGAGACAAAAGCAGACCAAGAATTAAAAGCCACCCAGAAATCAGTAAGAAGACACAGAAATATGTACTGCAAGGTTTCCTTGCTGGATGACACCATTTACGAGTGTGCTTTGGATGTAAGTGCCATTCAGTCTCTTAAAATGGGTGGCGGGGGGAGGGTTTGGAATTGGGTGATGCTGCCAATTAAGTAAATGGTTAAACTCCATTGGAGTAGGACTTCTGCCATGAACCATAACAATTATTTAAGATATGATAAGAATGTGGGGCACTTTGGACATTGGAAAAAAAAATCCAACATCTCTATTTGGGGGATTTTTTTAAAATGCCATCATCTCACTTGCCGATGCTTTCTCCTTCATTTGCCCCTATTTCTGATACTCCAGGCTTGAGTGTATATATAATTTTACATCCTTTTAAGATTTGATTATAACTCTAAATAATATTCAGATCAGAGCCAGAACATGTTTCTTATCAGCTGGATTTGTGTGCTTTGCTGGCTTTTCACTCAGAATACCTTGGAAACCTAAGATCACGTGCTGCTGACTAGTGACAGGAAAACAGTTTCAGCAAATCACCACAGGGAAAAAATGAGATTATCACCACTTAAACTTGGTCAAAATACTTATTTTTGCTTTGTTCTTTCAAATTCTTCCTTCTCATATGAGCTATGCCTTGAAAGAGTTAGCAGGCATGCTTAATGGGCACCTAACAATCAGTTAAAATCTGATAACCATCAGTTGTATTTCGTCCAAGTCTGTCTTAATCATTTATCTAAGCCACAATCCTTACATCAGTATTTATAGGAATTCTTACAAAGGGTGATGGTAGCACTGCCACCAGGCCAAACCCTGGTTCTGGACACTCGTTCTTAATTATCAGATTTTGGGTTTTAGTGGTTGTGAAAGGGTTGCTTCTATTCCTGTCATTAGAGTGTTGCAGTTGCCTTAGTTTTCCATTAGGGGGAACTACGTACAAAATGACAAATTCCGAAACTCTCTCCCTTTGGGTGTAGTTTAACAAGTCTTGACACAAATGCATCCCAACACAAGAAGCCTCTCCTTTCTACGCCATCTGCTCAAGCTTGATTCACCCTTCTGTTTCAGATTCTGTAAACTGTCTCTTCAGCCTTTACAGCCCTCTCACTATGGTCTGAGTTACCTTCTGTCCTTGTATCAGAGGTTCGTAAGTTCTCCCTTTAGGTTAAGGGATTCACCCCTGGGTGCATGGATCCAAGGCAGTCTTTTCCTCACCACACCTGCCTTGTAAGCCGATCTATGTCCTACCCCTGTCCACTCCCCGCGCCCCAGGGGGCAGCTGGGACCCTATGTAAAATGTGGGGGTGCTGCAGCACCCCCTGCACCCCTAGTTCTTGCTCCTATGAAAATAAGGTTTAAGCATGCCCTTCAGGTTGATGCTCAGTAGACAATTGTGGACACAGAGATACTGTTTACATCAAAATGTATGTAAAATATAAGCCCAAACATTGGTGGAGCCAGGCCCACATTCCAGAATATTGGTGGAGCATGGGCACCATGGGCCCATATAACTCGCCACCTATGGGGCCAACATGCCCTTTTATGTGGGTATGTAAAAATTACTAGTAGAGCTACAATGTCTAGCAGTATTGTTCAGAACAGAAATAGCAGTAAACAAATAATGTTTTTAGCATCCCCATTAAATCGATTTCAGAAGCTCTGCTCAGTCCCCTATTGATGAAAGGTTTTTGGCTGTACGTGTTTTTCATATATATCTCATAGGATGATCCCAGTGTCATAGAAATAAGTCAACAGAAATCTAATTCAACATCTGAGTACTAGCTCAACACATAAACAATCTGGCATTTAGTCTTTGAGACATAATGAGCTAATTAAGCCCTGAACCCACTGGTTAAGTCTAGTTGCTCATTTGTGACCCGTTTAGGTTTCTAGGGCTTCTTGTGCAAAGCAATTACCTTAGATGACCCTGTACAATTAGGTCAGTGCATCAGTGTTTGTGTAACAGTGTTGCTGCCATTGCTATCACATGGGATGCTTCTGGTAACATAGTTTTATGTCCTAGCGATGGTGAGGAACGTGGTTGGGGCAAAACCTTATCCGATCACAAGAAATAGCTGACCTTTTAAGGGAAGGCCTGGGACAATTATGTAGTTGAAGCCTAAAAAATTGTTTGCTGCAGTTTGCAGTTTCTTAGCTGTAGTATCCCTGGAGCTGTAAATCCCTTCAAGCTATAGCTTCTCTCTCTGTGCCTTTCTCTCTCTCTGCCAGTCTGATTCTCTTAAAACATCTAAAGCTTAAATTATTGAGATGTCCATTGTTTCTCTAGAATGTTTGATAGAATCTAGTTGTCAGGACAAGTGTATGTGGATTAGACCCAGTCTGAAATTTTGTTGAACTCTGCTATATGGCAGATATTTAGATTTAATTTTTAATCTCTTTTTAATTTAAAATGAACATATTGTAGCATTTAAAGTAGTTTTTAAAATGAAAATACAGTGGGTCAGAAGTAATTTTTATTTCCTAGGGAGCTTCTTGTGGTGTTGTGCTTATTCTTGTTCCGAAAGTGGTGGTGTAATGAATGCCTAAATAAAAATCAAACAAAAAACCTCCCCAAAGTGTAGTATTTAAATAACACTTCATTTCAGAACATTTAGAAAAAAACTAAATTAATCATAAAGACAGATAAATATTATTCTCATTTTAAATGGGAATACTGAGACAGGGAGCTTGTGATTGGAAGTCGGTGGCACAGCTAGGATTGGAACCCAAGGTTCCTAGCTCCCAGTTCTATGCTTAATCCACTAGATCATGCTGTGTCCCAAAATAACATCAGAATAATAGGTGCTATTTCCAGTCCCAAGTCTCAGTCTGGTCACCACTTGATAAACCAAGCTAATGTAGCATTTTGTACTGCCACCTATCACTGTAGCATAAGTACCATCTCGAAGCATTTTACAAACACTTAAGCCCCACAACACCTCTTTTGGGTAGAGAATAATTATATACCCATTTTTTGAGATGGGTAAACTGATGTGCAGATAAAATGACTTTCAGGATGCTTAGTCAGTATGGTCAGGAACAGAGTCTACATCAGTTTTAAACACTTCCCCAATAATTCGGGTTTGCTGTATTTGAATTTCCTATCTGATGCTCTTGCCTGTAAAGTGAAATACTTGGCCATAAATTGCTGAGCCAGTCAGTACCCTTTCTTTTGCTCAAGAATCCAGCCCTCTTCAGTGATTATGTAGAGTGGGAGAGTTATTTGGGGGGAGAGGAGAGGCAAAAAGCAATGTATAATATAGAATCTGTTACTTATTTGCAGAAACATGCCAAGGGTCAGGATCTGCTTAGAAAAGTATGCGAGCACCTCAATCTTCTGGAAGAAGACTACTTTGGACTGGCCGTATGGGACTCTCCAACTTCCAAGGTAAGAAGGTGCTTGTGGAACTACAGTCAGCAATCAAAAAAACCCAAAATGCTTCTTGATAGGTTATTGTCTCCAAAATGGGAAGAAGTGTGTAGCATCCCAAAAAATTATGCTTAATCTAGCTATATTTTTATTTTTTCCCCATGTGTGAAAGACCTTTTCTAAGAACTGGCAAAGTGTGTGAATTGTAAGAGTAACGATACTGTGAATAAAACAGAAACTACTATAAAATAGGACAGTGTGGGCTTTGCTAATGGAGGGGAGCAAAACGAACTTGGAAAAAATCTATTCTAGAGGAATGAAGCCACATGCAAAATAGATTAGACTAGACTCTGGTTTCTTTCTTTCTCTCTCTCTCTGTATTATAAATATACAGCAGAAGAACTCATGGATTTAAGTTATCAGAAGTGTTGGAGATTATTAGGGTTTTTCCTTTAAAAAAAAAAAATTGTGGTTTACAAAATAGAGTGGATAGGATAGAGGAGTAGATACTTAAGATGTGGAAGAACCTGAGCACAAAAGGAAATCGGAGAATTTCTTCATAGTCATAAATTATTCCATGTATGTACTAAAGGCAATAAGAGGAGCAATCAATTTCTGTTATTTTGGGGGTAAATAAGCATGTTTGATTTAGCTGTTAACTTGAGTCAAGTGTATGTAGATTGGCATCTCTCATCTCAATTTCTGAAGGGTCCCGTGTTCATTTTCTTCCTCTTCCTGACTTGTCTGTCACTGTTATGGCTGACTCTTAGTGATTTAGCCTTAGGTTTGTTTTGTTTTATTGATCAGGCAAGTGCTTCCTTCTTCACTGTCATGGGTATACCTCTGATATGTATCAATATTATGACTGGAAACAACTTACTCCCTGCACCCTAGTATTCTGCGGTACAATACTGGCTGTTCCAACTTCATAAAAAATGGAAAGAAATGTAAGTGGTTCCAGATTTAACAGTGTGTTCTGTGCGCACACAAGGGAATTATTTGGATAAGTCCCATGGAGTTGCATATATAAATTCCACTCCTGTCCTGTGTGTAACCGAGGAAATAGAGTTAGAAAATTTTTAGTTACATTTGGTTTTCTACAGGAAAACACTAAATGGAAACTGTCAGTTTTCATCCATGCTTATTTGTGATTAGTTGAACTAACCAAATAAGCGTGTAGCCTTCTTGGAGCACTTTCCCTTTAGAGTGGAAAAATGTCACAGGAGAATGGCTCCAGCTGGCCTGACCATCATTGGAAAAAGTCCCTGGAGCTCTTGTCAGCATTTACAAGATTTGGTGGGAGGCCATTCTGGATTAATGTTTCAAGCTGAGGCTTGTCACTGACAGAAGGGAAGGAAAATACTAAAAGTGTAAATATTTAGTGAGGCAATGCAATTTTTAATGTATTTGCTGAAAATAAGTTAAATTCTTCATACTGAAACTCAAATTGGTCAGTTTTACTTTGTTTTTGTTTAGATTTATGCAGCGTCATTGTCATGCATTGTTATTTTAACCCGCTTGTGTGTTCTTTAACAAATCAGACTGCCTGACATAAAAGTTAAGGCCTTGTTTAGTAAAAATTAAGCCTACCTGGGGATTGATTTCAAATCATTGTCTGACTTGAAATGTATTTAAAGACTTTTCATAGCTTATGGTCAGTATTCTGGCTACCTCCCTGTTTCACATATTGGAATCATTTATGTTAAACTGGTTTACTATGGTGGGATGAAGAAATTAGACCATTAAAAGATTCTTTAAAAGATGCAAAGAAAGATTCTTCTTGTGGACAGTTAACAGAATGATGGCTTTCATGTCAGCTGAAGTCTCGTTTTTATTTTCTTATATTTAGAATTTGATTTCATTCTTGCAGTAAGGGGTTGTTTACTCCATACTTGATGGAATCTACTATATGTAAGGTTTCAGAGTAGCAGCCGTGTTAGTCTGTATCCGCAAAAAGAACAGGAGTACTTGTGGCACCTTAGAGACTAACAAATTTATTAGAGCATAAGCTTTCGTGGGCTACAGCCCACGAAAGCTTATGCTCTAATAAATTTGTTA